AGCATACTTAATTTCATTTTAATAACATCAAGCAGTAGTGAGTTTGCTGTCTCCGTAATATGCTGTGTTAGTGTTTAGTCACCTTCATTCCTGGGAAGTGGTGCCTTTTTCCAAGGCATGATTTGTCTAATACCAAGCTACTGGCTCTGGTATGTCTTGTCTGTTTGATTAAAAAATGCAGCTATCGTTTCTTTCCATGTTCAAGGACATATACATGGTGATTATGTTACTTCTCAACTTCTCTTTGAGAAAATACACAGACTGAATTCTTTAAGACTCCTGAGGCTTGGTCCTCCAGTCCTGAAACAGTTTTATAGTTTTCATTTAAATTATCTTTGTATTTCCACAACTTTCTCAGAGAAAGTATCAACTTCAGGCCTGGAAACAGTAATTAGACAGCACTATGGTTTGACTTCCTGACTTCTGCATGGTAAACCTATTTTCTGTATCAGAAAGAACCTCTTCCTACAACTAAGAAATACTTCAGGAAACCCTCACAATGAGGCAGTTATTTGTGATGGTCCCAAAAATCCTTCTTAAGTTAGTTTTTCAAGAACTGAGACTTAATTTTTTTTTTTAATTCTTAATTTTTTTTTAATATTATACCCAAGATACTAAAATGAAAGAAAACAGGGAACAATACGTTTGTGTTTCTAGTGAATGATTCCAGTGGTGTGTTTAAGTGCAAAGGGATATGATATGGGGACAGGCGAGGGTGCAAGGCCTGCCTGCTGGGAGAGCACTGTCGGAGGGGGTTGGGTAAAGGAAACAATACCCGGCACAGTCTTGACTGCACTGCCTACAGGAATGATCCCTGAAATGGTCCAACCATAAAACAGCTGCTGAGTTTTGGCTGAGGAGTCAGAAGGTATTCTAGGAGTGATCTGTCATGCATGCAGCGTGGACAGTCAGGAGACCAGCACCTGGCATTCAAGGAGAGTGAGTATAACACAAAGCAACATTGTAGATGCACCCAGAGTATCCCATTCTCTAAGTACAACTTTCATTTCACTTTCCCAGAAATACTGATTTAGCTGCATTAGAAGACATCCAACTGAACTGTGACTACTCAATCTGACCACTCACATTTCTTCTTCAGAGTAATTTTTTTTCTCAGTTTGCTCCCCTTTTTCCTCTGTAAATTGACAAACCAATGATCTCCCTACCACCATACAGCTTAAGAAAAACATTGAACTATGCTGAATCAAGAATTAGTCCTTCCAGTATCTTGCTAGCAATCATCTCCCTTACTGATTTGCTTCACCGTGTGTTAACTGCACATAATCCAAGTGTTTCAATCAAAAATGTTACGCAGTGGTATGCCAATTGTCAGGCAAGAATTCAAGTAACCTACATCAGAATAATCAGCTTTCACACCTAAACCCGTAAACAATAATTAAAAAAACTAACCCGCCATCCTTTTCAACCAAACAATGTTCAAAGGGAATTCAATACATTTTCTGTCTTTCATTCCTTGTTGATAAAAACCCGAGTTCACAGATTCACCATTCACTACCGCTGATTTTAGGTGACTGGTCTTCAAATCCCTGTTACCAATTCTGCTCTTTTAAAGGTGGAAACTACACTGTCAGGCAGGCCTTTAGTTCTTTGGAGTTCTCATTTTTCCAAACTTTAATTAAAAGTCATACTTGTGGTTCAAAGAATTAATCACTTAAATCCTCTGGTTACATCTACAGTACTAAAGGCATCCCAAGCCCCGGCTTAGATCACAGGCAGTGATCTATGGTCTCACTGTTCAGCATTAGCTCTCTTTAGGGCAGGCCGGCTACAACCACACCACACGGCATTTTGCCATGGGTCACTGCTGATCCTTAAAAGGTTATTTTTGTGCATTTTTTTAGTTCAAAGTACTCAAAATAATGAGGGCTGTGTGGCTTCTATAGCATGAAAAGCATGAAACTGTGAGTGTCCTTTAGTCTGTGACATAAAGGTACATGGATGGGAGTGTTTGAAAGTGAAAAGTGCTGGAGAAGACTGCAAGCACCCAACCTGGTGCAGTCTGCAAAGAGCAGTCCCTGGAGAAAACTGTGCCCACAACAGCACTCACATTTATTTCAGATAGAATTAGTTGATTCACTCAGAAAGCAGGTTTAGACTGAACCAGTCTTTGTGCAACTGGAGACCGGAAAGTGGAAAAGAAAGTACCAGATAAACGTGCACGCACTTTTCATGGGTACAATTCTATTAGGTCAGGTATCTCGGCCTGATGATCACCATCCAGCTTTTTTTTTTCCCCTCCCTTCTTTGATTAACAGACTTTCTGGTTACCTACGTAACTAAGAAACTCAAACTCCCTAATGTCAACAGAGGCTTCAGAGAATCCTGTTTGTCACCTTCTACTACTCTACAATCACCTGTGAAGTTATTTTCTTGTTTTCTAAAATGTAATTATAATGCTACATATCCTGGATAGTTATTTTAAATGGTGTGCTCTCTGTATGACTGAATTCATAACTGTACTTAAAGCTCTGACAGGCTTTTCAGAAAGGCAACAGCATTTTTAAGACAATGTTAACTCCTTTAGGTTCCTAAGTTTGAGGCTGTTTTTATCCACTGTCTTACAGAGCATGCATTTTCTCTGAATTATTCTCTACTATAACAAAATTAAAGCCCTTAATTTCAACGTTCATCAATAGTGCAAATAATTGGACAAAATTGTGATGTGACATTAAAGATATTCAGTGTAAGAATGAGGAACTAAGTACCAGGCAGGACTGGATTTCATTCATAGTCACTGAAAAGTAATGGGAATAAGCAGTCAGTCTTTCCAACAGGTCAACATGCAGTGCTCCACAGAGTCTCTGCAAGGTCATGTGCTGTTTGACCTATTCGTAATTAACCTCAGAAAAGTGACAAAGTTAAAAAGTTTGCTGATGATAATATTACTGAGGGTAGTAAGATTACAGGCAGACTGTGAAAACCTGCAGAAAGACACATAAGACTGAGCAACTATGCAATAAAACGGCAGATGACATTCAGTATAGATAAAGGAGGACACACATGGGGAGAAACAACCACAACTTCACATATTAAACAACAGCCTTTGAGCTTACCATTACCACTCAAGCCTTTAGGAGTCTGGAACTGAAGACATCTTTGTAAGCTGGGAGAAAAGTAACAAGTGTACTTGCAATGTTCTTATTCTTCTCTAGGCACCTCCTTTTGACTACAAAAGACAGACTATTGTGTTAAAAGAACCTTTGGTAAGGACCAGGATAGCTATTCTTATATTTATCTTTTCAAGATGTCTACCTGGAGAGATACTTTTATGTTAGAAAACATATGTAAGTAAATAAGGAGCATAGCTGAAAAGCATATGCTGTTTGCTTGACTTCTTAAGAGTTTTATATATAGCCGAAAGCTCTGTGTGTCCTACAAATGCAGCATTCAGCTTCTCAGCCATCAGTGCTTAAATTTGAGCTTCTGTTTACTGAGTTCGGATGCAAATGAAGCCATACACTTTACTTCTATAGCACAGAAACGTTTCCAGTATGAAACTTTCTATCAGTGGGATTTTCTTTTTTTGTTCCCAGGAAGAAGGAACTGTGTTGTGTACTTGTTATGGCTGGTACCCCGAAGCAAAAAGCAAACAGGGGGTTCTGTTACACCAAATCCCTAAGAATATTTTTTTGCACAAAAAATACTGTAAATAATGTTGCAAAGTATGCTGAAGAAGAGTATATGGACTTTTGTAAATATGAAATATTAAGTAAAACCAATGTTACCATTCAGCTCCATTTAATAATGGAAATATGATACATTTACAGTTTTACATCTGTCACATTGGGTTTTTGAAACATGACCTGCTTGTATAATTCTGTTCAACATATCTACAGAGTATATAAAAAAAAGATTATAGATGGAAAACTCACACATCCAACTTACCCAGACAGGAACAAGAATCACATATAAATTTTTCTTATATTGCATTTTCAAGTTGGTGTTAAGCGTTTCAAGGACACAACTTGATTTCAACCCTTTTTGTAAGTATAATGAAAGTTAAAAATACTACTGGAAATGTATAAATGTAAAGTGATCAAGACGGTGATCTCAAGGGAGGTAATCAGAATTAGTTTATCATACAAAAATCTGATGACAGAGGAAGAGGCTAGAAACACTGATAAGAGCATGCCCTCTAGCAGGATTTCAGAATGATTGTTTTGGGCAGATTTGCTAGTTTACAGAAAACTTTGAGTTTGTTTCACAATCGGTATTACTTACGAAACCCACAGGCTGGCTACTGAGAAGTTTTATTGTATGCTATCCTATGCTTCCAGGAACATCCTTCTGTAATGATGTTTTTGTTCAGGGTAACTGGAAATAATAGTAAGCGATGTGGTGTAATTTAAATATTTTTTCAGTTCTCTTGGTCAGCCAAATTTAGCCTGCTTAATCATTTTTGGTAGAATTGTGACCTCCGTAGATTTCATAAAATGTAAACTCCTGAGGTACAAAAACCACTTTTTTTTTTTTTTTTACTCTCCACAAATAAAGTTTGGCTTAACTAATATTCCAGGTTCTCTTCCATATGTGCTTCACCCTATTAATCTCAGAGATCACCCTAGGTCCCATTAACAATGCTACACTTAGTGATCAGCCATGAAGCCATTAATGCCAACAAAAAATTTGAAAAGCTTGAACAGCTGAGTGAGAATACAGGATAAGAAAATAGTTCTTATTAACAAGTAGAATTCCTTGATGCAAGGATATTGCACTGGATGGTAACATGACAAAAGAGTTTACTGTATATACTATAAACACTTATTTAGTATCAGTGAAGATTCTTAGTGCTGAATGAGTAGAGTATATCAAATGACTGTTTTAAACACTTAGCTGTCATCAGCTAGATCTGACCCCTCTCACATGTGCTTTAACTAGAATATAGCCTTAATATTTTAGGCTATATTTTAATATTGTTAGTATTCAGAACACAAACATAAATTGTCTACAATTTATAAAATACTCTATGTACTCTAGAATTCAAATTTACATACATTTCAGCATTTATTGAAGCTCCTTTCCGATCCATGTTAAAAACACTTTTCAATGTTTTAATTCACAATTAAAAGGACAATTCATTATCTTCATTATCAAAAGTGCTTTATTTCTTACTTTCAAATGGAGACTTCAGTCATTACATTAATTTCCCACACTAATTAAAAATCAAGTCAGGAGAGCCCTCATTCCTATCTTGTCCGTAAAGAAAAGTTAAAATTGTACATGCAGTTTCACATCAATGCCAAAAGATAAAAACGGGATATATTAGCACTTCTGAAGGATGCATTAACAAGCCATGTTAATTATAACTATGCTAGTGGTTACACACCAGTAAGTTCAGTGAGTGTGCAGTATTTTTCATGGTTTAAAAAATATTGCATGTAGAAGAAAAAATAGCTTTATATTCACACATGGTTCACTAAAAAAACCAAGTAATAAAGAGTAATGAGACTACTGGTGGGTTTATCTTATTAAACTTTACAATAAAGCTATTCTGTATATCATCCTTTTCAAGATTACAGAAGCATTCTGAAACCTTCACACACACTAACTTCATTTTGTATTTCTGAACAGCAGCCAATCTTCAAATCCTCTGTTAACTCTACAGTTTGGCATTCATCTCATGAAGAAATCTTCTCTCATGTCAGCCTGTCATATTTTCAGCAGCCTAGAAAGAGAAACACTACTTATTGCAAATAAGTCACCAAAAGTAGACACCATGTGGATAAAATACTGCATATAGTCTTTTCTTATAGCTATTTTCATTTAGCCTGAAGTACTTGAAGCCTAAAAACAAGCTATTTATAATCTTCATAAGAAGTGCACTGCTGTTTTCCATTGGATATTTCCGTGTATTTTTAAATGCCACCAACACCTATTAGCCCTTATTCACATAGGCCGTTACTTACATCACCTGCGTTAAATTTTGTGTATTGTACCTGAACAGCCTGCATCTTGGACATTTCGCTCTAATGCATTCAAAAAGTACTCAGATGCATGTAATTTTCCTTCAGCGTTTACTTCTTTATGCAATATATAACCACCATTACTCCCATTCATACAGGTAAATTTGCACAAAGTTTAAAAGAACGATAGTAATCATAACTGCATAACTGCCAATTATTCAGTCACAGTTGACAGTCAGTATTTTTTATATATTACCGTGACTCAAAAAAATCCCAACTTGGTACACTAACAAAGTTGGAGACAGACGTATGTAAATTTTAAGCCAATTATGGGATAAATAGGCAAAGGATAGCAATGGGAATGACAAACTGGTAAAAGGAAAGAAACAAAATAGCCCTCACAAATACTTACACATACAGAGTTAAACATGCATATGTAGACATTTAAGTATCTACATGAATATAAAACATGGCTTGAATACACAAGATCTACAAATAATGGCAAAAACTGAGTAAAAAAGGGTGAAAAATAGCCTTGACTAGCATCCATCTAGTCAAACTCCCCAAGCTGAGTCTTGCAAGCATCAGAACATAGTCTTTGAGAGATAGACTAGATGTAGATTTTCCCTCCACCAGCACTGAAAGAAACAAACATAAGAGACCGTAGAAAATAAGCCATGATGTTTAGGTAGACAGTAAAGAACAAAAATCCTTTTGTTTTCTTGGGTATCTTTTTTGAGGGGTGGGGGTAGGGCATTACACTAATTGGCTTCTCTACAGGGAAATGCTTATTTTATATACATATACATACACATATATGAAATGCTCTCTGTATCTGAGTAGATTTAGAGTGTAGGTTACTGTGGTAAGAGCAATGGGTGAAGACTACATTAGCAATAGCAAGCTGTATGAACTTGCAGACATGTATTGCTGCATACTATTAGGTCATGAGAACCCTGAGGTTGTAGAAAGGAGATCATGCGGGTTGAAGGACAAAGCAGGAATCTAGCTACGTCATGAAAATATGCATGAGACAGGAAATGGTGACCAAAAATGTCCAGGACACAAACCTGTATTCTTATACCATTTCACAAGAGCCAGTCTATGTAAAAAAGTACCATTTTTTGGTTCATGTTATGTTCAGTCATATTGATTGCCTTTAAGGATAACAGTTCATTTCTTTGATTTAAAAAGGCATCTTACATCTTAAATAAAGCACAATCCACATGCTGAAGTATAGCAGATTGAACATAGATCTGATTTTATTCTGAAAACAAATCTCATGTACTTTCTAAGCAACAGAATTACCTTTAGAGCTTCTGTAGCCTTACGTAGTTCTTTAATAACAGATGACAATGCTTCTGGATTTATCCCCTGTTCACAAAGCCGCACACAAATAGATAAGGTCTCCATATCCAAACCAGTGTTTAATAATCTTGAAATCTCAAACAGAACTGCGACACAAAAAAAATGGAAGCAATTTAGTCCCTACAGACCATGAAGTTTCAATACTCAAAAGTTTCATTCATCAACATTTAATATGTAGAGTAGAATCTGTGAACAAGGCAATTACTGGAAAGCCCTCGCAGTTTAAACCTCAACAAGAGCATTCATGTTCAGCCTCTCAGTGTAAGAAGCCAGAAGCCACAGCTTCTAACTATAACTTAAATATCATGTTTTTCCGGTTCAGTGAACTTAATCCTTGATACTCATTTTTGAAAGACTTAAACAAAAATTAAGTGAGAAATTCAGTAATTAAAGTACTTGCCAGCAATTCCCTGTAGTCTACCTTTTACGTAGTATGTGCTTTTGAACTTTGGATACTTACTGGAAGTTCTACTTCAATGGACTGGAAGTCCATTCTTAAAACTTAAGAGAATGTCAGGAGTTTTGTAGCCCTTCTCCCTCTGTATCTACATCTGGCTTTACTTCTAGCAGTAACATCAACTTAAAGAAAGCAGTATCATTTGAATTTTACAGGACTTGACTAAAGAGCAGCACCAAGTGTTAATATTATTAAACCTTCTGAAGGAGGAATCAGTGGGGTTTCAGGTAGCTTTGTGCAGAAACATTACTTTTCCCTTAAAAACTTTCCCCTAAAGATCCAATTTTTTTTTGCATCTCATCTACAGTTTTCATTATATGCTAAACAGCATAGTTCATTGAGCTTTTACTTCTGGGTGCTACAATAATCTCCATCGTGAAACTATGTCTCCAGCACCACAGACTTACTTTGCTCAAACACCACTTAACACTGCTTCTATAATCAAACCTCTCCAATATTAGCAGTAGGAAGCAGAATGTCTTTCTTACCGTATCAGTATGGCAAGTGACAACTGTCCACTTCACAGCTATGTGAATACCTCAGTATACTAAACACCCTACTGTAGCATAGCCTTAGAGTCACACTTACCCAGGCCAAGACTCCAAAGGACTAATACTAGGCCTGAAGTACCCAGTCAATTCCACTAAAGCCACAAGGAAACAGAAGGTGCTATGAAAAAAATTCACTACTCTTCCACTAAATAAGTGTGATAATGCCTCCATGAGTAGTTTGGATTAAAAAACACATGCACATTTAAGACATGAAAACAATTAGTCAGACCAAAGCCCTAATTACAAGACACAGAGAAAGCTTCCTTCTCCAAGATGTTTTTTAATTCGCATTGGCTTGAAAACAAACCATTACAAACACATTACACATGCATATCCTGTCCACATGAAAGTGTCTTAAATAGCCAAATAAAGCAACAATTTATTGATGCATTAGTAATATAACGACATTGAACATTAAGTGCTATAGAACTGATGAAGTTTTATTACAAAATTTACTAGGCATGTGCTGTATGGTCACAAGCTTCTAGCAGATTGAAATATCTTCAAATGTTGAGGCAGCATCTTTGGCAGTGAGATGTATCAGAGTTTTTCTCCATGAAAAACCTGAGCTCTTAATCCGAGTTAAGCAAGATCCACCATAGACTTCATGTTCCAATTAAAAAATGTAATAAAATCGTCCTACAAATATTTTTTATTCCTGTTCATTATAGTTTGTCCTTGTCAAGAAATCAGATCTAATCACATGGACACAGCTACTGTAGTGTTTTAGAATTCCAGTTATTTAGCCTAGAAGAGAGCACTTTCAAAAGTAGTTATTATTTTTAAATGGATTTTTCAAAAGATTAAGGATGCTATTTTGAACAGTACAGAGATCCTCAAAATAATTTAAGAGTTGATTCCAGAATTGAGCGCAGCAGGAGTTCAAGCATGAAGATATTTCTGAAACTGCCTTAAGGTACATCTTTAAATAACAGGCAGATAGGGAAGCCTATGTTTAAGTCAATGGAAATCAGTTTTCTTCCAGAAATAGCTGACCTCTGATTAAATTGTGAATGTCCATTCTAAGTAAAATACACATATTACACAGAAAGCCTAGGCTCCCAAATCTAAACACTAGCACATTTTGACAACTTTTTTCAAAAGACTTATTTCTGTCTCTGATTCTGCATGCTGTCCCTCCCACCTAAAACATCCCTGCAGAAATGGAGAAAAGGCAAATATAAAGCACAGGTAGGAAAACTCAGGACCACTCTCCTTTCCAAACAAATCTCTCTTCAGTTGCACAAATAGTCTTATCCTCCTGAAGCATCAGGACAGTCACAGTAGTCCAGCTAGTCTTGCCTTGCCTCCAGTAATAGGAAGCAAGAGGCGGTAGCTCAGCGGCTAAGCTGGTTATTATGCCAGTGCAAAACTCAAAGGTCCTCACTGAGGAATCATTATTTAATAGTCACCATAAGTGGATGACAAGGGAAGAACGTAAGAAAATAACAAAGTGATACCTCCCCTGAGCACTCTCCCCAAACCTCTAGTCCCTCATTAAAGCATTTCTAAGAGTCTTTGTATTTAACAACCCTCAAAGGATTTCTTGTTCATAACCTTCCTACTCAACCTGAAACACATGTAAAGTTTTGGCATCCGTTCCAAGGAATTCCAGTTTGACAATTCACTAAGAAACACGACCTGAATCTGTCACCTGCAGTGCAACTATGGGGCATCAAAGCCGGCAAGAGACACTGACAACTGATCCTTATTCACCTTATCGATGCAGCCCATGGCTTACAGATCTCTAAAACTCGCCACTGCTCCCAGTGTCATTTCTCCCACACTGTTCACCCCATGAAAGTCAATCTTTTTGTTTCAGAAACTATTGTGTAATACTGACTGCCTCTCTCAAAACCTTTTTCAGTACTACACAGCCTTTTTAAGAACTGCATTTTGAACTCACTACCTAATACAGGAGCATAATGATTCTGTTTAGTTCTCTGTTTTTTCTCCCAGTAACTTAGTTTGCATCTCTGACAATAAAAGATCAGCTACCTATTACATGCCACAGAAAGATGATACTGGGGCTACGATCAGTTCAGAGACTGCCATATACAACTTCCTCTTTCTTCCCTTCCATGTACTTCCTTCCCCCCCCCCCCAGTTTAAAAAGATGCAGACAGCCAGACACTGTAGCTTACATTAATCATTTCAACAGAAGAGCAGAGAAACAGCAAATATACTTTAAAAAAAATTACGCTTAATAAAATGCTTAGTTAGAAACACACATACACAGTCCAAGAAACGCTAGTGCTATACGTTCACGGTGTTTAAGACATTACGCATTACACGAAGTAAAAGAGAACCGGTTTATGCATTCAGTTTAAAAATAAGCAGTTGCATGCACTAAACCTCTTCATCATAGAGGACACAGCTGCCTCAATTAACGAGCAGATAACGGCCCAGCAGCCTGCGGAGAGGCGGAGGCAGGGGCAGACGGGCGAGGAGGCAAAGCCGACGCGTAGGGGGCCTTGCGACCGGCGTGCGCAGGCCGGCGGCCTCGCCTGAAATATTTCAAATAACAGTTATAACACCTCTCCCAATTTTTTTAAAATAACTAACACCTTCTCATTAGCTCTACCATAAATGATAGCAAGAAGAAACTGAAGTGCTTATTTTTATTTTATAGGTACTTTTTACAAATTTTTGAATGAGGGAACAATGAACAAAATAGAGGGAGAATGTGGTAATCGGTCACTATTTTTGTGGATCACTGATGACGCGACTTTTAGATTCAAGCTAGTATGTGGGTATACAACTACTCTCAGCGCTGTGTTATTGGGACACCATTGCTTATGTACCCGGAGAAGTAATATGCACTAGTTCCCCTACAGCTAAAATACTTACCTGTTAGCTCAATTACATACACTTAAATAGCAGATGGGTACAGGGTGAATTCCTGGTCTCTAGCATAAAAGCCATACAGTCTGCACTACCTTCATCTAGTTTTTGGAAAAGGGAGAATTGAAAGAAATGTAAAATTGATGATATGCCCATATACAACAAATGGAATATTCATTACGATATTTTGCAAATGAATTGCTTGTAAAGGGGCTTGCACTCAGAGCTTTGTTATGGCCAATGCTGACTTGTTTTGGAAGTCTCCTTAGGTAGTCAGGCTTCATCTAAATTGTTCAAAATGTGTAGTACTGTATCAGGTTACCCCCGGGCCCCTCGGGCGGTCTGAGCCCCCGAGCGAAGCCAGCCCTTCCTTGGGCCTTCAGTGCCTCCGTTTCCTTCTTCGCTCGCTTCTTTGGCGTGGTGGTAACGCGAGGCTGGCTCGCACTGCACAGACTCCCGTAGTGCCTGCCCGTTTCTGGAGCCTCTGGGGGCCAGGGCTTCGTGTGTGAGCTGCCTGCCAGGAATACGTTTCTCTTTGTCGCCACTTTTGTTTCCTCTGCCCCTTTTTGTTTTTTAATAGGTTTTTTTTCATTATCGTTTTCTCATTTGATTGTTTTTTATTTATTTTTGTCTTTTCTCTGTATCAGCCTCTCTTGTCATCTTCTCACAGCTCAGTAGTTACAGACCAAAAGTAATTTCGATGTTATTAATCTTTTGAATGTTTCTGACTCCTTAAAGTTATTGATCATCTTTTCCCCCTTCCTTCAGGTTGACTCTAAAAAGTCAGAATTGTAACTTCCTTTCCCTCCTGTTTCTAGGCACAGCTTGGTTGGTGTTATGGCTGACATGAAAGAAGCGAAAATGCAGATAACACCAGAAACTCCAGGACGAGTTGCAATCCTGAACCCTTTTGAAAGTCCAAGTGATTATTATACCCTTCAAGAGCAGATTGTCTCCAGTCCTTCAGTCTTTAAGTCAACAAAATCCTCATCTGTAAGATCTAGTCTTCAGCTGTTTAACTCTATAGTCTTAATACTTTGAAAGGCATTGAAAAATGCACTAAATCAAATACAATTTTTCACAGACTAAGCCAAAGACTTTTGGTGGCATTAAAAAAGAAGAGGCAAAGTTCTTCAGATTACAGTAGTATGCTTCTTTTGATACTAACATTGTGTCACTCAGCCTTCCTACCTTACTGATAGTAGTGTGATTTTTTTTCCCCTTTTACTTTAAACAGTGCTAGGTGTAGCACTAGATTAGCATATATCTACTAAAAGACAAAAGATCTTGAAAGAAGAAAATAATAGGCAGTTGTTACAAATAAGCGTGGATACAGTACTCTT